GACTCATCCTAAATCTTCTTTGAAATTGACTTTCAGTGAATTTAGAATTTTCAACAAAATAATCATTATATAACCTTAACTCACCTTCCTTTATATTACAATTGATAATATTATGACCAAGAATAAAGCCACGATACTCTGTTCTCCGCCCTGATTATTCGATTCTTTCTCAATAACCACAGCGATAGTAACTTGAATAGCTAACATAAGAGTGTCATTATCAAAATAAGCATCATAAAAATTAAAATTAGAATGATTCATGATGAATTTTAATGAAATATAACAAAGATGGGAGAGAAGAAAATGATAAGAAAAAATATTAAGGTATATGAGAATATTTATAGATGGATTATTTTTTGAAATTTTAAAATCTTAGAATATTGGCTGTAATTTTTTTAAAATTCAAAATTTTAAAATTTAAAATGTTAGTGGTTATTTTTTTATAATTTGAAATTTTAAAATTTAACATGTTATCAATTATTTTTTCAAAACTTGAATTTTTTTTAAAAAATTCAAAATCAAAATTTTAAATGTTAGCGGTTTTTTTTTAAGTTTGAATTTGAATTTACTTTAAAAAAATTAAATTTTTAACAATAACATATAAAACTAAAATTTAAAAATATTCATATAAATAAATTTTAAATTATATCTTTTAATTTTCATATTACTTCATTAATTTTATATTACTTTTATAAATTATATAATTAATTACATCATAATTATATTATTTATAAAATATCTAAATTAGTTATATAATTATATTAAAATTAATTTAACATGAAATATAATTAATTTTTTTAAATAACTTTAAAATACATATACTAAAAAAACTATATTTATATTATTTAAAAAACTATTTTATCAATTTAGCTCTTTTGAAGATGCTCACAAGGTCATATTCTTAGGAAAACAGTCGAGGAACGATGCATCACAGCTAAACCAGCTTCCTTTAAATGTTTCATTTCTTCAAGATAACTCAAATGCGTAACGATGATGTCAATAACATCATAAGAGATATCACAGCTATCATAGGACCACGTCTTCTTCAGACCAAAATCCCTTTTCTTATCAAATCACACTAAGAAATAGAATACAGTACATTTTTTTTGGTTTATCAAAAGATGAAAGGAGTTACATTTACAAGAGATCACATCTCTTCTCTGCAATCTAGAGGGGTAACTATAACAATGTAGTCCCATTGTAGTTAGCTTCTACCTGGTCTTCCGTGTAGGTCACTGTGAATTACCCACTATCCACACTGCGCTGGAAAACGGGCAGGTTGCCAGATTCAGCCACCTGAATCTCTACAAGGTTGCAACCTTCTGAGACAAGTCGTTGACATCCTCATCACTGACCTCTTTAATCATCTCCTGTAATAAGAAAAGTAAAATATGAAGGGAGGATTAAAACATACCACAATTTTTAATATCCCGCTTTTGCTGTGTGAAATCACCCATTTAAGCAGCTTTTCATTTTATTTAAACAAAAAAACCGTGGATAAATGAACATTTTAACAAAACTTCCAACACATGCATGACTATAAGCCCTGAAAAATCTAATAAGCATGGTTCCCAAAAACAGTGAAACAACTGATGCCCATTGCGCACTCTAATCAACCTTAGCAGCACTAGCAGCAGCCAGTCCCCTAAGCCGACTAGTCCTCATTGTAGCAATGAAACATGTCCAATGTGTTGATGATCATCTCCTTCACAAGAATGTTCAACGAGGTACATAGCCACACCATGCACTTTAGGTCTTTACTCTAAATTGGCAAGCATTACCAGCCTTAGCAGGGTGTCTCAGTCCTTCCTCCACCTGCAACTTGTCTCCAATCATTTCATGCAGTGCCTTGGAAAAATCTTTTAGGAACAAGAAGCAAGCTTGATCCTTGTGGGTTCACTATTAGGATTTAGGGTTGTGGCTGAAAGCCTGATAACCATCGCATAATCACCAGAAACTTAAGCAGCAACTCCATGATCACTAACATGATGCTCAAAATTACAGAAAACAGCACCTCAAGGGATAGATCTTAGCAGCAAATATTACCCACCAAAGAATCCTGGGTACGTGCTCCTTTATTGCTACAGCACACACTTCCTGGGTACATACCCTCAGCAATACCAAAGAATCCATTTTTGTTTCTTACAGCAGAAATGGTGTCCAACAGAGCTCCATGACCCATGTGATGAAAGATTGCAGCCACAACTCCTTTTAGGTAGCCGTTTCTTTTGCCTAAAATAAAATACCAGAACGTGGATAGTCCCTTATTGACCAAGCATCCTTGCATTGAGCACAATTACATGATCCATTTTAGACTGTTTGTGTGTGAAGGTGAAGTGAAGCGGCTCTCTGTGGAGACAGCAAGATAGGTGCAAGAGAGATTAGGTTTTCTTATATAAATTCCTTCTTATGTTCAACACTTCAACTACACAATCTACCTTTGACTCTTCCATGAATGGACAGATTATTTATGTAACATGATGTCACTTACTTCTGAATCTCCTTTTGGTTTCACAACCACACATTTGGAGGCACTGATGCTGGAACTCTTCAATAGGCTTCGGTTACTGTAGTTTGGCTTGCTAGATCCATTTTGTTCTGCAACTGTCGCATCCTCTGAACCATCTGCTTGCTGCGATCCTGGGGGACTTTTAAGAGATTTTGCAACAGAAGGTGCAGTTCGCCTCTCAATATCAGTGCTTTGAGCTGCTGTCTCATCCTTCGGAGCTGGAACCCGCTCTCTGAAGAAGAGGTGACACTTGAAGGTCATCGATATTAAGTGAAAATTACATCATCAAATAGTTGAATCTGTGGTGTTTTGGAGATGGAGAGCCATGATTCATTTGAATTTGGTCAAAATTGCACATATATACAATATTATAGACGGAGAGGGGGAGGGGGGAGGGATTTGTATGGAAAAACAAACCAGCTTGCCCAATCATATGATCATATAGCTTCAAATGAAAGGGAGAATAACTCATGTCCAACATATACCTAGGCAAGGAAGCATGCTGTCTTTGGAGTGGAGTGCTTCTTTCCCCTTTACCATAGTGCTCCTCAAGATGTGCAAATTGTCGTTTGAATCGATCAACACCACTGTGGTTGACAGTGAAAAATAACATCAAATAACTAACTCATATCAAAACATATAGCACCGCAATTTCAAAATATTTATATTTCATAAAAATCAGGTATCAATTCACTAATGTGTTGAAAATGTGGAGAAATTTGTAAAACTTCTTTAAGGTCATGTTTGCTTGTGGAGAAATTTCCAGTTACCAGGAGGTTTTTTCTAAAATAAAATATTTGTAGAAAACATTTTTACCAGTTACTGCTTTCTTGAAAATGTGTTTTTGCTAGGTTATAAGCAACCACCCAACCTTGGGTACATAAAGCTTGTCTGCTCTCCACCTCGAAGGTACTCCTTCAGCATCTGCGGGTGATACTCTAATATCTGTTTACAACAAATCAAAAGTTCATTTTAGTCACAGTGATGTGTGAAAGCCACAGTGCAAAGAAAAGCAACAAGAATCAAAGTGTTGCTGCCATACCTCTCGGTAGATCAGTTCCCTTACATCATCTTTTGTTATTTTCCTCCTCTCAAACTCAAACTCCAATTTTGAAATAGGTTGAGTGGAGGGCTCACACTCAACATTTGCCAAACCATTAAAGTAAGGATTTGCTAAAGCCTGGGTGCATTAGGGATGTTAACATGTATCATGATTAACAAACAACTGTCATAGATATCTCTTTTATCTTTATTTTAATTTGAATTTGAAATAAGGGTTACAAAACTACTGAATCTTAGTACCTCTTCAGCTGTCGGACGATCTTTAGGATCAAATGCAAGCAGGCCCTCCAGTAGGCGAAGAGCCAATGGATCCACATTAGGAAACTTATGAGGGAATGGAACTGGTGGTTTCTTCCGCATGTTACTAAGATACCTCCTTGCCTTTTCATTCCGAATCTGCCAACATAATGCCAAGTAACATGAGGGGGAACATGGATGAAAAAGGGAACAAAAAGAAACAACAAACTATGTGACATAAAAGCAGAAGAGCGACAAATTAATGCACTTTTTTAAGAACTAAGAGTAGCAATTTACTGCAAAAGGCTTACAACAATGACAGCATAAAATTTTACAATAGGTTCGTCTATTGACAGCAGAAAAGCAGGGACTGTAATGAGATACTAACCTTTGAAAGAGATTCAGGAGGAGGAGTGCCCAGCAAATCAGTCATAAGATCCAACTGGTGAACCACGTTTTTACCAGGAAAAAGTGGTTTTCCTGTGAGCATTTCAGCAAATATACATCCAATGCTCCAAATATCAATTGCAGGAGTGTACTGAAGGAAGATGAAAACACTTAGTAACTGTGTATTTTCAACAGTTGAAGAAACATGATGCTAAAATAACTGCTCATGAATAAAGAAATAACTGGAAAGTAACAATGAACTTGAGCAGCAAGCATTTACCACTATGCCAAAAGATTGAAAGTGAAAACGTGCAAGTCATCAAGAATGAAAAATGTACACAATCTCAAACCTATCATGTGCATGCATATTATAAATACAATAAATTATTTAGTATCATTATGACCATCTGGACCCTGCTGCAATCATTATGACCATCTGGAACATGCTGCAATATCTTAACAATTGAATGTATTTCACTAGATGAAAATAATCAAAGAATCAAGAACAAAAATAAAGAGATGCCAAGATTCAGGCTTAAAATTGTGGGAGAATACAGCATACATCCATATCAGATCTTGTACAGTTTAAGATGATAGAATATCAACCATGATCCACCTGAAATGAAATGTTTTATCATATTTAGCTGCCTGACAGACATTGTTCTTCTTCATTAAAGAGCAGTACCAGTCGTTACTGACAGGTGATAAATATTTGGCTGATAGCACCTCAAACAGCTTAAATTTGGAAAAAACAGCAAACCAAATATAGGATGGGTTAAGATCCCTTATTAAAATCCAGAGGTAATTAAAATGTATAACATGCTGCTACTTAATGATTGTCTCATAAACAAGTCAAGTAAATTGGACAAAATTATCAGGATAGGTCCCAAATTAGTCTCCTATTATATATTAAATTATTTGACATAACAAGATGAATTAGTCAATGCCATTGATGCCTAGTGGAATCAATTGGGAAAAATGAAGAAAGGAGAAATCAACAAATAGGGATATCCCAATTTAGTCTCTAGATCGGTCTTTTAAATACCTTAAGCCATCACAGCAACCAGAGTATTATAGTAAAGTAATAAAAGGGACATCAAGCAGTAAAAAAGCTTACTTTGGAGAAAAAAGAGCCACAGAGTTCAGGAGCACGATACCATCTAGTAGCTACATAGTCCTTCCAAAAAGAGGGAGAGAAAAAGTTAGCATATTATAGTTCTTAGAGATTTCCAGCCTATAATTTTTAATAAGATGACATCAAATAAGAGCGTCATTGAAAGAAATCCCAATGACAAAAATAAAAAAGAAACACCACCATGCTTTAGCATTTTTTTCATTTGTAGCACATCATGTCAAGTTTTGCAAGCATGTCCATGAGCTTTTATTAAGTGCTGCAATTATGTATTGCCATCATGATCTGCTCCAATTTGGAGTCAAGATGTCGACATTTAATCTTCATGTACTAGCATTTGTACACAAATTCCATGTCAGAAAATTATAGGATACTTTAAATTGGCTCCACCTGAGATATGCTAAAATGACAACAATCATAACTCTTATTTATAAACCTAGAGATGACAAAACTTCAGTAATCTTGAGGGTCAAAATATATTTTAATTTGTATTTGCTATCTTTAACCTCCCATCACCAGATTCCAGAATATTTTCCAGATTTTGGTCATCCATCTTCAAATACTTTAAACTTCCTCTTAAACAACGATCCATAATCCAAACCTACCCAAAAGCATGAAAAACTGGTAAGCCTCTATCAATTCCTCTACAACCAGTCATTTCAAGCACAAAATCCACCTCCACAACCAACCAAACAAACATTGCATGAACCCATCTCCATGACCAGCCAATCAAGCATACAAGGAAAAACACCCTAACCAGCCACAAAAACATTAACACCCATCAAACAGTCACCTATTCATTAATTCCATCTCTTCAAACCCATTACCCAGCTACCAACAGCCAAAAGCCCAGCACAAGCAAGCTTGATTCCCGCACAACTCATTACAAGTGAAACAAGTTAACCGCCACCATCTTCTCTAAACACAGCTACTTTTCCTCCTCAAGCAACAATCATCATTAAATAAAGCATTCATGCATGATTGAGACCTTGTAACAATCAACTCAATTTTTCTTTTTTATAACTCATATTACTAATTTCAAGTCATTTCTTTCTGAATAATCTCCCTTTATTGCGATCTCATGGTTGAATTTTATCTCAAAACTCACCCAAGTCATGTAGAATCCAGGTTATCAAACTAAACCAAAATTTGACAGAATGGTGATAATAGAAAACAATTGCAGCACCTAATCAAATAAAAGAAAGGCACATATAGGAAAGCTAGAAAATAGGCTAAAATTGTAAAAACAAACGCTTAAGAACTTTTTTTGTCAGTAGGCCTAAAAAAGAACAGAAAAACACAGAAGCTCATGACTAGCATTAGAGAACATACTGTCCAAAGAATAGCTGATGGGGCATCATTGAAAGATACTCTAGCAAGACCAAAATCGCATATCTTCAATTTGCAGTCAGCATTAGCGAGAATGTTTTTTGGCTTTAAATCTCGATGAAACACATTTGCTGCAAGAAATGCAAAAAATGAATCAACTAACAAAAAAGACATAGAAAGACAATAGACAATGAGAAACACATACCTGAATGTATATATTTAAGACCACGAAGAAGCTGGTACAAGAAAAATTGATAATGCTCGGGTGTAAGATCATCATTTGCCTTAATTACTTGGTGAAGGTCAGATTCCATCAACTCAAAAACAACATAGATATCTCTGAATTCCCTACGCGAAGGAGGAAGCATAATGTGCTTTATTTCTACAATATCAGGATGACGAAGCAACCGAAGGAGTTTAATTTCTCTCAGAATACGTGTGGCATCAGAAACATGCTCAAAAACATCATTAATCTTCTTGATTGCAACCCTTTCTCCAGTATGAGAGTCAATTGCAGAGCCAACAACACCATAACTACCTTTTCCAATGACTTCTTGTACTTGGTATTGACTAGCCTCTCCATACTCGGTAAAGAAATCTGCCTCTGCCGAGCCCTGTATAAAGAATCAAACTTACTTTTTGTCAATTTCAAACTGCATAATTTATGTAGAGAGACACAGAGTAGGAGGATTGGAGTACATGTAAAAAGAATCAAACTTAATTCATGTAATTAAAAAACATTGAGCTAAGCAAGATCTTTTGGACCAGCAACTAAGAAACGGAAATGCTGATGAGGTAATTAGTGATCCACATCAAACAACCATGCCAAATAATAAATGATAACAAAATGGTGCAACTAATAAGAAAATCGACAATGATAATTGCCACACCTCAAAAAAGCCACATTCTTTTGTACCCAAAAATGCAGATAAGTCCAATGAAGAAATATAGCATACCGAAAGTGAAAGAGGAAGATCAATATCAAACACCAACCAAAAATCCAATTTTCTCATTTAACCCCTCACATTTTGCAATAAAAAATTCGGACTTTAAGCTCATTGAAACCCATTAACAGAGCAGCCAAACAAATCTAAGAAAATCCAATAAAACTAAACTAAAACACTTTTTGGAAAAGAAAAAAAAAAAGGAAACAGTAGTTCTCCAAAAATCAAAGAAGAGATCAGAAACAAAACAAAGAAAAAAGAAAAACCCACAAGTAAAAGAAATCCATCTATAATCTTGATTGTCAAAGCGGGGATTTGGTTACCTTCTTCTGAAGATCCATGGTAGAACCAAGAGGGAAATGGATACGTTTAGGAACTCTAATAAGTTTAAGATCAGAAATATCAAAATCCTCAATCACAGTCAGCTGCTCTTCCTCTGTCCCCTTTATTCCCTCCTTTACATTTACCGATGATTGTGGACAACCACTACTACTAACATTAGAAGAAGTAGCTTTGTTAAAATTATTAATGTGATCACGATTGTTATGGTTCGTTCGGCGTTGAAACCATCGACGAATACCGTCCACTAGCGTTCCACTCCCACCCATATAAAATGTTTTCCTGATTTCCCTTTTTGTTTGTAGCCACCAACTTCCAGCATTCCTCGCCCTCTCCCTCTCTCTTTCTATTGTTCCTCTCGGCTTGCCATCTATTCTACTACTACTATGGAATCTCTCTCTCTCTCTCGTGTGTTGCATATATATGGTGTGTTTGGGTTTATTTAATTCTTATTTATGTAGAGTGTGGATGGGGCGAAGCGTGCGGATGAGAGGGAAGAGAGACAGGCGGCGCTTCACATTACCCCATGGTGGCTTCGCTACTTCGGTTTTGACTTTATAAGCGTAATGGCATGACATAAATACCTTCTACATGTTTTTGTGTCTTTAATTATTTTTATTATTAGTATTAACATGAGCTTGGTTTTTTATAATAGCATTAACATATAATTAAAGAGCCTGGCTTTTTTTCAGTGTACCATTAATTAATTAACACAGACTAAAAGAGATTGAATTTTTACTAAATAATAAAAAAATCAAGTGTTTGTTTTGTCACCAAAATTTTTCAAGGATTAAATTAGGTTTATTAGATATTAAATTTTATAATTTATTTTAATTTATTTTTTATAAAATTATTTAATCTCATAATTTAGATCGTAAATTTTAAAAATTAGTTGTATTGACTTGTGTAATTTTTTATCCTTTTTTAATTAGTTTTTTTTCTTTCAACTTCATTTTTTAATATTGGTTTTAATAGGAATTGGGTTTCACAATATTGAGGATTAAATTGAGATTACTAGGTATTAAATTTCATAATTTATTTTGATTTATTTTTTATGGAGTTATCTTAATCTTATCGAATTGTGATTTTTTAGGGTTAATCATATTGACCTGGGTCATTTTTTGTTATTTTTTAATTATATTTTTCTCGTGAATTTATCCTTCAATATTGTTTTGATTAGAAATTAGGTTTCATAATTATTTTTTTAATTTTTTCTATGAGATTATCATGATCTCATGACCAGGTTTGTGAGTTTTACGAGTTATCAGTCTGACAGGGGTTTTTTTATCTTTTTTTATTGACCAGGTTTGTGAGTTTTACGAGTTATTAGTCTGACAGGGGTTTTTTATCTTTTTTTTTATTTCTTTTCAATCTCATCTTTTAACATTGGGTTAGTTAAGAATTGGATTTTATAATTTTTTTTATTTGTTTTCTATAGAATTATCCTGATCTCTGGATCTAGGTTTGACAAGTTAATTCGAATCGACTTGGGTTATTATTTTTATCCATTTTTTCTCAATTTAATCATTTAACATTAAGTTGATTGAAAGCTGGGATTCATAATTTATTTATTTATTACTTTTTAAGGGATTAGCATGGTTTTATGACCCGATTCGCAGGTTTGGCCTTTTGACTTTGGTTTTTTTTCTTTTTAATTGGATTTTTTCAATTTTATCATTCAATACTAAGTTGATTATAAATTAGGCTTCATAATTTATTTTAATTATTGTTATATGATGTTATTTCAGTCTCATGAACTGGATCACGGGTTTAGTTGATTGACTCAAGTGATTTTTTGTATTTTTTAATTCTACTATTCAACATTAAATTGATAAAAAACCGAGCTTCATAATTTATTTTAATTTTTTTATAAGGTTATCCTGATCTCATAATCTAGGTTTGATATGTTAACCAAGGTTAACTAAACTCATTTTTTAGTTGAATTTTCAATTCATCATTTAACATTGAGTTAATTGAGAATTATGTATAATATTATTTTTTTGTATTTGTTTTCCATAGAGTTATCAAGTCTTATGACCTGGGTAATTTATTTCACAGGTTAATCATGAGTTGACCTAATATGTTATCGTTTTAATATTTCATAGAAGATATTATCTTGATTTTTTTTAGTCAAACTATATTTTCATTGGTCGTCCGAGTTATTTTTTAACCTACCAAGTCTATCAGGCACATCATGTCAATCCTCATATATTTTAAATTTAATTTTGCTAAAAAACACATTAACAATACCTAAATATATTTCTTTTATATCATAAAATTTGATATGGCAATGTAACATAGATAATAATCTAACATTTATCTAGGATTAAAAAACAAAGAATATGTCCTAAAAAGATATTGCATCTTACATTCTTGCATAAATCTCATAATGTCTATCTAAATTGGAGTTTAAATTTAAACTTTCCACTAGTTAGATTTATGTCAATATATCATTTTAATAGATTTTAAACCGTTCTTATAAGATTTTTATAACTAGATGAACAAAAAATCCTTAATAATTGGTTTAGTTAAAGATATATAAGATAATTATATTTTTTAGAGTTCAAATCTTGGAATAAATATTAAAAAAATACTAAAATTTTCTAAATATATGGTATTGGAATGGGGATGTATCCTTAAAATTGTTGGAAAAAAAGTCTTAATTAATATATAAATTGATTTGAAAATATGTTTTAGTATTAAATTAAAAAGAAAAAAAACTAGGTGATTAAACAAGTTAGATTCATTCATCTAAATGATAAATGTCAACTTGATGAAGGTAGCATGTTCAATTTTGATTTTAGAAAGAGTGGTTGATATTGTGTTGTAGAATATATTTTAAAAGTGTGTTTTTTATTTAAAAATATATTAAAATAATTTTTTATTTTATTTCTGACATCAAAACCATAAAAAAATTAAAATAAAAAATAATTTTTTAAAAGTATTTCCAAAAATACCTAAAAATAAAAGCAACTCACTCCTAAATTCACTATAAGTACTGATGATATCACTAAATGTGGAAATAAAAACAGTTCATGATATTATGGCTAAACTATTGCCAAATCATAAATTGACCGGTGCTCTAAATTACTGACATTGTATGAAAATAAAATCAGAATAATAAATGCAAAAATCTATCTGTAATAATTGTCTGTGTCCAACCGTCACTAAGAAACTTAATCCATCCAATTGGGGAAGTCTAATAAAATTTTATTACTGTAATATGCAATTAGCGTATTAGGGTATGCCAAGTCAGAATTTACATTTTAATTTGTACGGTTGTAAGAAAAAATAAATTTATTGCCCAGAAATAAGATTGGAGTCTCTAGAAAAATAAAAAAGAAAGGGAAAAGGAAGTTTCATGTTATGCAAAACATTTATCTCAACTTGTCTCAGATATGGTGTTTCTTTATTTTTATAATAATTAACATATCTTTGAGTCAACTTGCTTTTTAATTAATATTAAGTATTTGTTTAAATAATCTTAAAAACATATTTTTCACGCAAATCTAATATATTAAGATAAATTTTATAGATTTTATTAACTAGGTACTTATATATATATATATATAGACACACACATGCATGTAATCAATTTAGATGATTTTTCAATATACTATTACTTTTTTTATTTTTAGTAAATATTTATCATCCACAAAAGTTTATGCTTTAAAGGAGTATGCAAGAAGCAATTTTTTTAACAAATTAATTCCTATGTGAATAATGTTGAAGTTAAGATCTCACATTTATATTTTTATATATTTTAATGATGATAATAAAATAAAAATAAGACTAATAATATATTTGATTGAGAATAAATATTAAACATATTTTATACAAAAATAAATTATCAACAAGTATGAAAGGTTTCATGAAAAAATCAATCTAAAGGTACAAAATGGAAGCAAAGGGAATATTTAGAATTTAAGTGTGTCATTTAGTGCTTTATGTAAATTTTTATATTTTATTTTCATAATACAATTAAAATAAACTCACACACTTTACTATACATACATCTAAAAGGATGGATTAAAAATCCAATAAAAAATTTTAAAAAATCATCAAGGTTAAAACTAATAAATCTGTTATTCTGGAGAACCGATCAACTATTTGGTATGATTAAATGAATTGGTCAACTGCTTATTCATTAATGATGAACATCTAAAAATTATACATGAACCAATCAATTGAGTTGTTTGATCAATTTGAATTAATCGACCGTTTCAATTGTCAGTAAAACTGTAACAGCTAGAAACTATTAGTTTTTGCCAGAAACATATATATAGCTTATCTGATTGTAAATTAGCAAGACAATCCGAACATATATCATATATAAACTATTTTAAGAGTAAAACAACTTCAAAATCATTAATCCTTAATTATACTCATATTTATGCAATCAAACCTTCATAATTTAGCATAAAAGTGTATGTTCTCATTCTCATTATATTTAAACATGTTTTAATCCTATAAATGCTATCTAGTGAGATATAAAAATACTAAGATTTTCAATAATAATATATACTCTATCAAGAGAGTAAATTCATAATAACAAAAATTATATTTGTAAACTCTTGAGAGTTAGGGAAAAACTCTAGGCAATCATAATATATTTTCATCAAGAGAAAATCTTGAAGAAGACATATCTTTAAGTGGAAGAAAAATCTTGAAAAAAGAATATCTTCAAGTGGTATAAAAATCTTGGTATGGATTTATCAAGCAGTTATTATATTTTAAAGCTTAAACAAGTTAAATAATATAATATTTAAATACTGTTTAGTACTTAAGGTATGGATATAGACTTGTCAAATAATATAAAAAAAACAAGTTTGCAAATTCTTTATTTTATTTTTTTACTTTAAGCATTTTAATTATATTGTTTATTATTGTATTTAGTTTAATTAATTTGTATTATTTATTAATATTAGTAATACTCATAATTCATTTTTTTATTAGATATTATAGTTGTCTTAATCCTAAAATAAGATATATTATTTTTTAATTTTTTTTCTAAAATATTTGAATTTAAATAATGTTCTGTAACAAAAAAAAAACGTGAAGTAGGCCTTTGTTTTATATATAACTGTAGTCGATTTAGATTATCATGATAACATACTCTCATGTTCTAACAAGATAATCATTGATTGTGAGTTGTAACCTTCTTAAGTCTATCATTCTATTGCATGTTATTAGGTAATAAATTTTAATTAATTCCTCAACAGCCAGACATCTCTTTCTTTCTCGGAAAATGCGACAAAGGTTCACAGAAGTAGGTTTTCTTTTTGAAAATGTTTCCTCAGAAACTGGATATTTAAGTTGCATCTGATGAGAGTTATGAAAAATAATTTCCAATTTGAACCATAATTTAATTTATTTTATAAATAAATTATAAAAAAAAATAAATTAAAAGGCTTTAAATTAGATTTATATTTGTTAAAATTGACTCAAAGCAATTTTTTGTAGAAATAATATAATATAAGTTGTAATTCATAAATTTAATTTATTTTTTTGTGTTTTATAAAATAAAAATTTTGACTCAAATAAAAAACTAAA